GAAGGGAGGGAGGGAGGGAGGGAGGGAGAAAGGAAGGGAAAGGAAGGAAGGAAGAAAGAAAAGAAGAAAAAGACAGACAGGGTAGTACATTTTCCATGAATTTTAATTTTACTCTCTTCCCCCACCACACAAACACAAAAGCATTTGAGGGATGGGAGGAAGAAAGTGAGATCACAGGGAAAATAGTAAGAGACATTCAGAAGGACAGGTCTTAGAAATTTACTAGTTTCGGGGGGAGGGGGGCAGTCAGAGAGCAGTAGTATATAAAAGAATGCTAGGACAGTTCCCAGGTTTAGGCATGGGTGACTAGTTTGATTATTTCATTTTGTCCCACTCGCAATTACAAGGAGAATTGTTGATGGAACATATGATAGGGCTGATAGAGTGCTAGGAAGCGGATACACGAAAATTTAAATATCATCATTTTGAACACCCATGTTACTCCAAGTGAGATTCCCTAACATATATGATATACATACAGATATATGGGCTTGAAACTCTGGAGATGAATACAGATTTAGGAATCCCTGGAACACAGGTCATGACTTAAGTAATGGGAATCAAAGATTACTCAGAGAAAACACAGAATGAAAAGAGAAGAAAGAAATAGGCCAACGAAGAAGAGATCGGAGGAGACCAAGGCAGGGTGATAAGATCAAAACAGGAGAAAAGAATCCGATAGAAGTCCCATTCGATTATCATGTCCCTTCCCAGAGGACATGGACATGCCTTTTTTTTTTTTTTTTTAATCTTTTATACCCAATTATCACAGGTCCTGGCACAGAAGCCACACAGTTTTTTTAAATTGTGTTCTACTATTCAGTTTCCCGTATCCACCAGGGGAGAAAAAAGTGAGTATAAGCAAGCACAGACATAGATTTTTTTACACTGTATACTAAAGGGGTCAGATTATACACAATATTTTATGCCTCACTTTTTTACTTAATATATCTTAGAAGTTTGTACATGTTCTTATGGAAAGACTGGCTGCATTTTTTTGGTCTACAACAGAACATTCTATTATAAAACTGTACCCTATAATTTTTATTTAACCAGCTCTTTATTGGCGGATATTAAGAATGGAGGAATGTTTCAACAAGGGAACAATCAACAGTATCAAAATACTGCAGAGGGGTCAATTTGGGGACTAAGAGGGGAGCCACTGGATTTGGCAACTAGGAGATAAATTTTAGCACAATGATGAAGGCAGAATCCAGATTATAATGAGCTCAGTGAAAAAAGGTGAAGACATATAGCTTATTCTCTCAAGAAACTACGCTATGGTAAACTGGCAGAGGCTGTAAGAGTGGGCAGTGAGTTGTTTTCTCCTTCATGTAAATATATTTACTTTTTTAAACACTAGGCCCAATTTTATACCCAACTTCATTAATTTTACGAACATGTTTATGTAAGTATGTATATATGTATGTTATGTAATGTTTTAGACACTGAAAAATAACTCATTTCTGCTATTATAAAACTGTTATCTTTAGATGTTCAGAAGCAACTCCCTAAAACTAGGTAGCAGTAATGGAGCTATGTCTATCATTCTTTCCCATCAACCCCCTTGCTGGAAATGTAAACATGTGTCCATCAAGCCTTTAATTTTTACATCTGATCTTTATGGCTCTCCATACAAAACTTAACCTTTTTTTTGTATTTGTATATGTATATTCATATGTATGTATACCTATCTATCTATCTATCTCTCTCTATATATATATAGAGACCCACTAATAGACATTTATTCTGTTATGTTGTCCTGCTTTCTATTACAAATTGGGGAAAAGCCATTATTATTATATATTCACTTCAGAAGAACTAGTTTCAGGTCATGGAAAACCATGAAAACCAGAAAACGATGAAAACCATGGAAAATCAGAAAAACAATCTATATAGATATATATATAGAGAGAGAGAGAGAGAGAGAGTGTCTTGCTATATTGCTCAGGCTGATCTCAACTCCTGGACTCAAGCAATCCTTCCACCTTGGCCTTGCAAAGTGCTGGGATTACAGGCATGAACCACTGTGCCCAGCCTCAGGCTTAACTCTTAAAATATCTTCAAACTGATGTTCTTCTGTTCTCATTTTTAAGTATAGATGTGTTTAAACCAACTATAACTTATTTTGACAAAATTTGGAGTTAAGACTCAAACTTCCTCAGATGGTCAGTTCTCATAAAACTATTTACAGAATAATCTATCCTTTCACTGTTAAGTTAAAATACCACCTTTTCCTTACACTAAATTCTCATTTGCATGACTCTGGTTCTAAACTTCCATTGCCTTTATCTGTCTGGCCCAGGGCTAGTCTACAATATTTTATTTAATATCTGATTGAAAGAGTCTATACTTTATTATTTTTTATTATTTACTCTTCTAAACAAACTTTAGAGTCATTTTGTCAAGTGCCAAAAATAAATCTGCTGGAATTTGTAAATTGTGTGTGTGTATATATATATACACACACAATATATATATATGAATAGATATAAAATATAAAAAATATATATACACACATACACACTTTTTTTTTTTTGAGACAGGGTCTCACTCTCTCATGTAGGCTGGAGTTCAGAGGCATGATCTCGGCTCACTGCAACCTCTGCCTTCCAGGCTCAAGTGATCCTCCCGCCTCAACCTCAGGAGTAGTTGGAACTACAGGTGTGTGCCACAGACACCCAGCTAATTGTCATCTACTCACCTCAGCTTCCCAAACTTTTGGAATGACAGGTATGAGCCACTGTGCCCAGCAGAAATTACATTTATAAATTAATATGAAGACATGTTGATAACTAACATATTTATAACATGAGATCTGCTCATCCAGGAACATAGAATGCAAATCTTTCATTCCACTCAGCAAAATTTTGTCATGTCCTTGATAAAAGTCCTGCACATCTAAGTTTATTCCTAGATATTTAATTTTTGCTGAAATACATGAAAAAATACTTCATCACTATATCTTCTATGTGATTATAGCCAACATTGGGGAAGGCTAATGATTTTTATATAAAAGAGCTTTTAACCAGTAATCTTAAAAATTGTTTTTTT